ATTTTGTTCAGTCTTTTTGGTTCCACTTAGTAAGAACTCTTATTGATAGCACAGAAAGCAGAATGTCCCTTGAAAAACTACAGGATAGAGTTAATTACTGAAAATGGAAAACGTCCGGTTGTTTATTGATTATACCATTGTATTTAAGAATACCCTTACATATAAAGTACCAGCCTGGGAAAGTGATATTGATTTTACCTTGATAATTACAACCTGAATAGTCCCTTTGTAATACAAAGCTTTATTCAGTATAATAGCTACCATGAAGTTCTTTGGGCCATACAGTACAATCAATTACCACCCATGATCTCTTAGAGCAGCCAAACAATAACATGGACACTAGAACAATTTTGGTGGGATTTTTTTTTTTTTTTGCTCTTGTTATTGGCGTTTTTGGGTTGGGTGTTGAGGTTTAGGGAATGGAGCTGGGGAGGGATTGAGGTGGTGTGAATTTCTAGTGACAATTCTTATTTGTTTTAATAACTCAAAGTACGAATGGTGAAAAAAAAAAAAATACAGAAAGTGCCAAAACAGTGTTCATTTTCTTCACCATGGCAGAGCACAATTACATATTCCAATCCTCCCACCTGCATTCAGTAAATAATCAGCTTCAAGTGTGCGAGAGACTCCCAAATTCTTTTGAGATTAAAAGGTACAATTAACATATTAAATATTTAGTACTTCTTAATTTCCCAGTAGCCCGCACTACATTGGCTTTAAATAATACTGCACTCAGTGTAGTGGTTTAGGTGTACAAGAACAAGAGAAATACAGATACAAATGTAGGTAAACAAACACGTAATTTTATCAATATTTACTCCTATTACAAAGTAGTTTTTTCTGAAAAAAAAATGTTAGTAATTAATTAGAATGTACTAGAAAAGAATGTTTGATAACTCAGCTAAACTCTACCTTATCATCATTTGCTTTATGATTACCTGTAATTAGAGATCATTTTTGATCAATTTAAGTAAACCTGCAGCCACTTAATGAAAACCAGTCTGGGAACATTTCTCCATCTCCAGTTCTCAGCAGGATCTCAATCTCCAGTTCGCAGCAGGAAAGGTCAGCAGGCCATTAGAATACTAAATTTGAATGGCTATAAACTAGTATTCAGAATAAAAAAAGAATATTTTATTTTTTACCTAGCATACCGACAATGGAATGTAAATATACTCAGCATATTAATTCTCATTTAAAATTGAAAATAAGTTTAAAATAATGTATTCCAAGATAAGCTTTTCCAGTATAGGATGGATGCACAGGTCCAAATAATTGTTTCTTGGGTACTATTTGGCAGAGTTCAGACAAGGTCAGTTACCATAAATCTTTTTGGCAATCAACTAGGAGTTTTTTCATGCAAGAATGTATGTCTGTGTTAAATATTAATACTCTTTATACAATATAGTTAGTGTACAATGCCTTGTAAAAACAAAATGCTGACATATTTGCTCAAAAAAAAAGTGACCTTAAGCTAAAATGTGGGGTTTTCCCCCCTTGTCCTTAAATCACTTTACTCCTCTAATAGGGAAACACAATGCTGTAGAAATAAAGAAAGCAAAGATAACCACTAGAGCATTTGTCCCATGCTGGTCTGTTCCACTACACTAGAGAGAAATCTAGCTGCATTTTTGAAAGCACACATTGTAGTCATTCTCCTGAAAATCACATCAAGCAAAGAACTGAAGCTTTGTCACTCCTCAAAAGCCTAGTCTATACATTGTTAAAATTGAAACTTTAAATCTTTTTAAAAAGGCAATATCATGAAATCTGTCACTTGCTGTCACCGTAGCAGTAATTTTAACTTTTACCAGAATATTGTTGGCACCCTGAGTTCTACCCCCAGGAAAAATAAATACAGTTTGTGACAGAAACTAATATTTCTAAGTCAAAACCATTTTTCCAAGGTAGTTGCATGAAGTAGTATCAGTACGTTCTGTTTCATAATATACATCATTTGCTAAGGATCAAATTAGAATGGCATATGAAGTTTCTCACAGCTTTTAAATTTGTTCATTATATTGACTATTTCCCTGACTTATGTACTAAGATGAAATCCTGGTGATGGTGACTTAGAGATCTTTAGCTGTTCTACAGGAAAATCTCTCAGCTCTAATGGTCCTCATCAATATTCTCTGCAAATAAGCATTTACAGTTAGAAAGGGGAAACTATGAATCTAACAAATAAGAAATGCTCACCAAATATTTGGTAGAAAAGTGGCACAAGTCTTCACCTCCAGTTTACTTCACAAATGCTAGAGAGTCCTTCAAGAGGAGATCTGAACATTGATTTCATGCTACCAACAGAATCAAAAGCTACCTGGAGAAGAATTTACATTTCCAAGGTCTTTGTAACTTCTAATATATTAGATTACTTTTAAAATTACTAGGAAACCTGCATTCAATGAACCTTTTTAACTTGAATTAGTACTTTTTAAAAATCACACAGCCAAGTTCAGAAAAAAAACCACGGTAAGTAGTGCTCCAGAGTTGTGCTGGTACTGACTACATGCCCAGTTAACTAGAAACAAGCCAGAATTTGTAACCTGTGCTTCAGCTATTTCACTGCTGTCAAGAACCCAGCCAGGATTTTCAAAATTTGTGCCCAGACTCAAGAAACCTTATTAAAAATATACCTCCAGTCCTCCAAATACTCTTAGAAGTATTTTGATTACCTGAGAGTGATCATCTTGAAGTATGTACATAAGATGATACACAAAATGCAAAAGCAGTGAAGTCTGTGATTCAGCACTTGAGGCAAGGTAAATTATTAGTGTGCAGCATCTTTAAAAATCCAGTCACTTACTCAGGCAACTTCAGTGTTAAATTTAAATAGGCATGTATTTATATGAACATTATCATTTCTCTCCACAATGTTTGCTTCTAAGATGCTGCACAGTCAAAATTTTAAGTGTTACTCCTGTTACACTTGCTATAACAGCCTGTATTTTACGAAAAAAAGCTGTCTTTTGTGTTTCCATGTGTTCCCAAATTATTCCAGAAAAGGTGAGACAGCACCCCTCTAAGAAGGTAGATCAACCAAACTTCTTATCTCCTAAAATGATTACTCTTTATGAAAAAAAAAAAAGTGATCTTATTGGATCAGCAGGTAAGAACAAAACCAAAACTCATAGATAGATACCACATCTTCAAGGCAGAACATCTCTGTCTTTCTTTTCAGCTTTCAATTGAGGATTTTTTACCATTTAAAAAACTATAAGACAAACCTAGCAGGTGTTCTGACAAGGCAGACACAGAAGCAAGCTCACTCAGTGCTTAGTTATTCAAAGTCCAGTACCATGTCCAGTGGGGTGACAAAACCTTTGAAGGCATCAGGCTGTGGAGTAAGCCCATAGGCTACCAGCCTCCCTACTGCTGCAACAGCAGTGCAGATGAGTCTCCTTTTAGCAGTGATCTTACACACATCAGTTGTCACACATTAAACAAAACAGCTGATTTTGCTTCCACAGTTTAAATGATGAGAATTATTTCAGTACTGTGTATCCTTGCCTTTGGAGATTATCACTTTCTTTTCCCTCCGTTAGTTACATATTGAAACATCCTCTTGTTGTTAGGGGTGTATAGAGAGAAGTTAAAACACATTCCATTATATATTAGAAACTACAAAACTCTTCAAGAAAAGTCAGTCTCCGAACCTATATTCAGCTAATAATATTTAAGAATAATTCCTGAGAACCTGATAACTTGATTGAAGGGATTCATTTTCACTGTTCCTTATCTTAGCTTTAACTATAAAAGAACATGTCATATTATGACAAGAACAGCTCTCACACCTTGAAGCTTCTATAATTCTTCTTTGAATTGCTGTATTTCTTTAATATGTCCTACCTTATAAGCCTGAGGCAATACAGTATTAAACTACCATCTTAAAAGTTTGGATTTGCCCTGTGTATTGTACCCTGTGTCTGCACTAATGTGAACCTTTTACTGAAGAAATCACATGTTGTATGGGATACAATCATCTTATAGAGCTGTATCAAGCATCAGTATTCTGGACATAGTAATGATAGACAATATCTATACTGGAAACTTGAAAAGAAAAATAAAGTGACAGAGAAGATGGACTGAGAAGATAGATAATAGAAGTGCTATGTTGATCTCCCTTCAACTCCTTACAACCCTATTAAAAACACAGATCTATATTAAAAATGTCAGTTGGGCTGTAGCTTACTCTACCAATGTTAGGCTCACGTCTGAAGAGTCTAGGAGATAGAGTTTACCAGCTGCTGCCATGGGCTTCAAGTTTGCAGAGTTTTATGAGACAGACTCAGCTGGTGCACAGAACTTAGTCTTGTTATTTGAATGCATCACAGTACACTGTAATCTGTCTGTTTTCCAATGTATTAGATTAACACTTATCTCTTTAAGCACACAGCTTATCTGTCAAAAAAATCCTCTACAGTGTCTGGAGCTATGTCTCCAAACAGAGTGTCCTAGTTCCACACAGACTGTTATTTAGTGTCCCAATTTTCTTCACTTTGATAAAGAAGAAAACTGTTCAGTTCTGACAACTTGATTAACAACAATCAGCATTATTTTCAGAAAAACAGATCAGCTAGTCCCTGAAAAACTGCAAAACTATCCTCATCTATTTTTGACAATGCAGAAATATAAATCAATTCCAAATATGAATGGCAGTAGTAAAATAAAAGCAGAATTCAAGTAGGGTTACTAGTGTAAGGACTGCACCTGCTAGCAATGTTTTCATCTGCCAAATGTGTGAGTTGACCCCAGAACCATACTTTGAAAGAGGAAGTATTTTCTAAAGATTCTAAAGCTTTCATTTCAAAATAAATCTTTCTAACCTTATAACCACAAAAATAATCTCCAAAAACTAGGTTGAAACTGTTTTACTATATTAGCAAGAGCAAAAAAAACACACATCTGTCTTTGCCTTCTATTTCTATTCTCTTCTACCACAATAGTGCGTAACACAAACCAACCCATCTCAGGAACTGTGCCTGTTCTCATCTACTTACCTATGTTTGGTTTTATTGCTGCAGCATGAATTATTAGGTCAATTTTGCCTTCTGCATTCCCACACAATTCCACTGCTTTTTCAATTAATCCTAGAACAAGACGCAAAAAATGTGCTGCTTCACAATGAAGCTGTTTCAAAGGGTGTAGTACAGTTCTCCACTCCCGGGTGTTTTTCTAGCTAGCTGATAACTGGAGTTCCTACATCCAAATCTGAATACTGAAGCCCAAAATGAATTGTATCTAAACTCCTGGATTTGTTACAGTCAATTATCTGCACACAGAAGTATGGTTACGTATCAGAATATGTATTTTTGAACACTTCAATTATGTAATATTTTATTATTAGTATTAGATTGTAATATTTTATGCTATTATTAGGTTAGGGTTGCTGTTGAAAAAGTAGAATACAATTACTAATAAACTGAGGAATAGGAAGCATATTAATTTTGTTTCTGAAATTCTATAGTTGGACTGAAATCCAGGCTACACCTATCAACTTATATTATGCCATAACCTGTGTGAAGACTAACGAATTCTTGCTTCCCATTGCATTTCTGGCTCTAGGTTGAAAGCATGAAGAATTCTATGAGAAGAAGAAAAGCAAAAACCTGCAGGTAGCATCAGACAGTAGGAGCAGACTGGAATAGACCCTAACATCTTACACCTCATGGTTCAATAGTATTGTTCTGCTGTATCATGACCAGCTGGGTAAGTCTTGACTGTATGATTACATAGATAGTGTCCTTATATGAACAGCATTTGAAGACATTACCAAAAAAAAGACATGATCAAAGGACTCCAGAAAGCACTGAATTATGATGTCCATGGATATCACTGGGAAGTAAAACCCACCCTTTTTCAGATCAATACATTGTAGATATAAAAAGCTTTGCTTAAAAGCCTCCTATATTCTGAATGCCCCTCAAATCCCTGTTTGCATTCAGAACACTACACAGATATCACTACTGTAATTTAAAGGGGTATTATTCAGGTTATCTTTTATATTATTATGATTAAATATAAATAGGTCAGTTCTACTCTGCTTCTTCGCTGACAGAAATTTTGGAAGTCAAATTTTACTTGATTATTACATAGCTGTCACATCTTCAAGCATCAAGATACTCTTTGAATATCAGTGTTATAAACAGGACTCAAAAATTCAAAGATCAAAAATGAAAAGCTAGCTTGTGAATTTGTGCTGAAAAGCTGGAATCATATGTAATCCTAAACCATAACAGAAAGAAGACAGTTCATTGTATTCCTTCATCCACACTAAAAAGTCACTAAATAACACAACCTTGTTGATAAGCCGTGATCTTAAATATAATGCTAAAGTATCCTGGGTGGGTATAAATGGAAACAACACAGCACTGGTTCTACGTTTTAAGGAAGTTATGACACCAAACTGAATACAGAGTGCACTATCCCTGCCACTAACCCCTGCTACACATTCTCCATGTCAGTGAGCACTGTAATTCAGCTATAGGTTAGATGTCACAAACAATGTCTTATTCTAGAAATTAGTTATGACATGACCAATTTGACTAAGAGTTCATATTACCTTCCTTAATTTCACGTCCTCCAAAATACTTGCAAAGAATTTTTTGTTCACCTCATTTCAGAGTAGTCATAATACATGTGAAAAGATCTTTTAGACTTTCCATGAAAGCAACTGTGAAAGAACTAGAGAACACAATATAGCTATAGCTAATTCTGCACTTAAAAAATGTAAACTATATTCATTACTAAGTGAAATCACACTGCTCCATAAAACAAGACTTAAAACTTGCACAGTATTCATAGCTTACTTCCACTAGAGTCTTTACTGAGAAATACTTGATTAACTTCTTCACATGAAAGGAAAAGTGCAGAGCCAAACCACCTCAGGTGCAATGATGCCCAAACCCTGCCATGGCCCTGCAGTGCACAACTTGTAACTCCTGCTTCAAACATAAACAGATTACCTGGTTTTACCAATAACAATTGACCAATAGTGAAACACAAGTGCTTGAGGCAAAACAAAAGTAGCTACATTAACGGTAAGAAAATTACCAAGTTGAAGCAACCCACCTTTCTACTTACAGCTGCCTTCCTTCTGCACTAACATTATAAAACATCGTGCTTGTGGGGTTCTTTTTCCACAGATGCATGTTCTAAAAAGGACAATTATTTTTTTCCAGTAATAATAATTTCTCTCGTCTAAAACCAATGCAATTAAGAAAACTAATACCACATTACTGACTTAAATGTGAAGTTTTTAGTTTAACTTCCCTTTCATTTGCTTGCAAAACTGGAGCTGAAATCTCTTGAGAGATGAACAATTTTTTTTTTTTATATGAATACTTTCAACACTGAGAATGCACAGAAATATGATCAATATAAAGTAAAAAAAAATTAATCTGGAAATCTAAAATGCCTGTGCTCAGTATGATAACTCTGAAAGTACTAGTAAGAGAACACTTTTAAGAAGAAGGGGGAAAAAAAAAGAAAAAAGAAAAATTAAAGTGGCAAAGTTAACTCTGTAACCTCCCTCAGCTGCCCTCTATACTCCAGAATTCATTGCTACTTACAAGCAACGAGTTGCAAAACCAGTTTCCATAAACAAAAGGGAAATGAGAAGCATGATGTAAACTGAACTAGGATAGAAAATAGTTGTAGGTGTGCTATCTCCAGCCTCAGTTTTGCAGTGTTAAATGATGTTGCCTGGAATTAGTAATGAGGCAAAGGTTCTACACTGCCAGTAGCATTTGTGGCAGAAGCAAACCAAGATAAGAGACTTTCTACAAAAGAAAATAAAACTCCATCAGAGAACAAATGGGCGTTGCACGCTGCCTGGGAGGCAGGCAGTTATTAAACAACTTCTCTACATTTTTATTCTTTTAAGCATAGAGACTGTCAAAACAAGCATTTTTGTGTATAAATGGAGTGACAGTGAGTTATAGCACAGTCGGACCATGAGCAGTAATTCCTTTTATCTGACTTCAGCCATCTCCATTGCACGTTTTTCCTCAAATACCAATTTCCTGAAGTCTCCTGCTTTCCAGAAGGAAAGAGGATATGAAGAGAGGACCATATGAAAGACCCGTTTTTGGGAAAAAAAAATCTTTTGCCATGAAACAGAAAGGGAAAAAATAAAGTGATGTTTCACAATATTTCTTATTTTTACTTTAAGAAATGGTCAGCATTTTCTCTGTAAGATGATCAGAAAAATCAAGTAGCAATGGAATGCAGAACCCCTGGCTCTGCAAAGCAAGAAGCATATGCTTTAGCAGAACATCTTGTAGTGGCTAGAGAGAGAAAGGATCAAAGATCATGCATCAGCATTGTCTGTTTCCTTCAGATGATGTTTTTTCACTCACTACATTGCAGATCTGAAGTACCCCATGCATTAAACTGCCAGAGGAGGCTACAGGGAGCTGCTTCATTTGCTTGGAAAAAGGGAATACTTGATCCATATGACAGCATAGATCTTAAAAGGTAATTTCACTTTTTTTTATGAGATTATTAAAGACTATGAAAAATATATCAGTATTCCCCCACAAGGACAACTGTGATCATCAGTCTTTAAAATTGTTTTTTAAGTGTCATAGCATGTTAAACATTACTGGTCAGATTCCCCAGTCTCAGGGGAGCACAGCAAACTGAAATGTTGGTGTGAGCAATAATTACAATCTTCTAACCACTGCATAGTCTCACTCACAAGTTATAGCATTTAGGAAACAACATTGAGCCAGCTGTCAGATAGAGTGCAATAGACTTCAAAAACATTATTTTTCATTCTGTTCATGATCTTCCTTAACTGCTCAACTGCATGAAAGCTGCAGGATGCAGGCAGTATTTACACCAGCAAGTTTACACACCAAATCTGCTATTTTAGGCATTCTTCTCTCCCTTCACAGCTCCAGAGCAATCCAATAGAAGTCCTCCCATCACTACTTCAAGCTTCCTTTAAAGAGCAGTGAACTGTTTCAGGTTCTTCCTATTTGTTCTTACTTTAGCTCTTATTCAGTGCTTTAAGAGTATGGTGTAATCATAATAAAATTCAGTGGAAAATTAAATACAAACAAAACCAAATACACCTTGATCAGTTTATAATACCCCTCTTCAACACAAAAAGAGAGGAGGCAGATGTCTCTTAACGAATGCTAGAATTGTATGAAGCATTTCTGAGACTAACTCATAACCACAGAGAAAGCAGATTTTCTAGATATTTATATAGTGTGCCTGTTAATCTGTACTTAATAGACTACCATCTTAATTTATCTCATAAGCCAACTATCATTAACTTTTACTATAAAATTGTCAGAAAGAAATTAATTCATCTTCTGTCTTAAATTTTTATCTGAATAAAGTGGTTTCTGTTCCTAACAAGGTACATTCAGCTGCACAGTATTTCAGTTTAAGGGTTTGGGGGAAGTCAGGTTGGTGGGTGATGCAGCAAGATGTCCACATTTTATGTATGACATACAGTGTAAGTCTAAATTATTTATATGTGCTTAATAACACTTTGTGGAACCTACAGACTTGTGAGAATTCAATACTGTTACACATTTCACTCTTTGAATTTTTCCTATTTTTTAATCAATTTTAGCCATAATGGCACCCTCTGAAGTGATTCACAAAATAAATTATATGACATTTTAATCATTACTGGCAATGCTTTTCCAATCAGGCAAGCCAACCACCCCCTCAGCCAACAACTCACATGAAGTACATGCAACACAAAGTACACTGGTTCTTTCATAGCTTACAGTCTAAGAGCAAGCAAGACTTGCTCAGATGCAGTCTACCCAATATCAAAAGGTTTTATACCTTTCTTTATTAATCCTGTTTGCAACATGCATCAAACATTATTATCAAAGATTAATTTGAAGAACACAGAAGAATGGTATACAAGACCAGGGATTCCAAGTCTTACTGGAGACAAAAGACAAAGAATTCTGAGTTAATTGTTGGGTTTGACTGTCATTAATCTCCAGTTTTGGTTGAATTGCCTCTCCACTCCCCCACACCCTCAGTTTATTTCCACAGACCATGGAAGGATTAGCTCAAGCTTATAAACCATTTTAAACAAAAAGGGATTTCCCTA